GTGAGTTGAAAGGCTGTGGGTGAGCTGGCTGGGTTGAGAGGCCGTGACCTTGCACTGGAGAGGTTGTGCTAGTTTGTTTACAATTTAGTGTCTACTGATTGGCTGAGAGAGGGCGCGGACCTCATAGCAGAAATAAAGCGCTCTGGATAAGTGAAATTGATTCCCAGGTCTAAATAGGTAGGCTTATATTGGTAATAGAGTAATAGTATGGATAAATGAGGTTTTGAAGCCTAGTCTAAATATATAAGCTATAGAGAGGTAGTGTAATGGAGATTTGTTTGGGAGGTTCTAAATTTTATGGATTAGGTTGGAGTTTTGTAGGAAGGTGGCTATGGCGTGGAAGAGAGTGGGCGGGTTGAGGGGATTAAGAAGTAAGTGTATATTATTGTGGTATTTAGATGGTATACTGCTGTGTAGTTGTGTGATGTTTGTTTGTTGTAGGTGGCATTGTGTGAATATATGGTTAATGTCTTCTGGTGTGTTGCAGTGGGAGCAGAGTCCATCTGGGTGTCTGTTTTGTTTATAGAGTGTATAATTGAGATTTGTGATGCCTGTGATTAGTCGGTTTATGCAAATGTCAATGTTTTTTATATTGGAGAATGTAGGGAGTTTGCTGATAGGTGTTTTGATGATGTTTTTAACCCATGTTGATTTATTAGTATTTATGTTGTGCTGGAAGTTTAATTTGGATATATTTGTTTTAATAAGTTGTTTGAGTTCTGTTTTGGATGTGTGGAAATTGATGCTAGGTGAGTTGTGTGTGGTTGCTAGCTTCACGGCTGTGTCTGCAGTGTTATTTCCTGGAATGTTGGTGTGGCTGGGTATCCATATGAATGTTATGTTTTTGTTTAAGCGTTTGAGTGAGTCTGTATGTATTATAATATTATGCATTATGTCAGGGCGTGATTTTGAGTGCATATTTTGTATTTGTTTGATAGAGCTGAGAGAGTCGGAGAGTATGAGAAAGTTTGTTTGTTGAATTGATGGTAGTAGGTGTAGTGCTGAGAGGATTGCAGTTAGTTCGGCGGTGTTAATAGTGGTGTAGTTTGAGTAGTGCAGGTTTGTTGTTAGTGGGGGGTTTTGATCTACATGTATACCTATGCCTGTTTTATTGTTTTTTTGTTTATGGATGCATCTGTGTAGATGTGGGTGTATGCAGGGTAGTTTGTTTGAATATGGTTGTTTATAATATTTAATTTGGTGTGTATATCAGTGTTGTTTGGCAGGTTTTGTAGTGTGGAGGCTAAAGTGGTGTCTGTGGGTGGTGGGGGTTTGTCGTGGATGTAGCTTGTAATGGGAGGTGTGTGAGGCATGGTGTTTAACTGTTGGGCATGTAGCAGACTGGTGAGGTGGGTAAGGCATGGAGCTATACTTGGTTTTAGTTTGAATTTTTTAAGTGTTGATTTTTTTATGTTGTATTTGTTTGTCATTAGTTTGAAGATGGGGTTGTGTTGGGCCCCAGCCCAGTAGGTGAGTGTGGTTTGGTTGATTCTGTGGGTGATTGAAGAGGTGCCTGTAATAAGGAGCAGTGTATTAAGGGAGGTACCATTCCTCGTGCCTGTGGCTAGTTTGAGGGCCTTATATTGGACTGAGTTTAGTTTTTGGAGGTTACAGGGGGATAGGTTGTGGAGAACCGGAGCGGCGTAGTCCATTCTCGACAGTATAAGAGTTTTGTATATGTTGATGAGTGTGTGTTTGTCGGCACCCCAGTTTGTGCCGCTGATGGCTCGCATTAAGTTTAAATCTTTTTGACATGAGTTGACCAAGTTATGAATGTGGGATGTCCATGTCATATGGTGGTCAAAAGTTACTCCTAGGAATTTGGCTTCATTTTTTAACTCAATGTTTTGATTATTTAAGTGTAGATTGGGTGTATAATTTTGCATTCTTTTAGTTTTGAATAGAATGCCCACGGTTTTTTTTACATTTATATCGAACCCCCATTTGAGGGCCCAATTTTGAATGAAATTTAGCATTTTTTGTATTTTGGTAGATGCCTGTTTTACAGAAGTGGATGAAGTCCAAATTGAAATGTCGTCGGCAAATTTGGCAGTTGAGATTTCAGGCCATTTTTCCTGGAAATATGTCGTTAATCATAAAGTTGAATAAAGTTAGGGATAGTATACTCCCCTGGGGGTGCCATTTTCTATGGGGTAGGGATCCGAAATGGTGTTGTAAGATTTGATTGTTATTTGTCTGTCGTTTAGGAAAGAGTGACTGAAATTTAGAATTCGACCGCGTATGGCATGTTTTTTAAGTTTTTGTAGGAGGCCGTTATGCCAAACCATGTCGAATGCTTTACTGAAATCTATAAAAATGGCCATTGTGTATTGTTTTTGTGCTTGGGCTACTCTGATGTCTTGGGTGACCGGACAAAATCCACCCGGACAAAATCCACCCCAAAATTGCCACCCCGGACAAAATCCACCTCTTCTTAACAAATAAAAATGCTCAAGCATTGCAAGCATCGTTTTGATAGCATTTTCGTTTTCCTAATTGGCTGTTGTTCCTAGATGTTGTTTCAAACATTAAAGGTTTCTCCATTTGTCACATTTTGATCACTACTTAATCCTCTTTCATGTATCATTAAGTAGTCTCACACTTTGATCATTACGTAATCCCCTTAAAGAATTAAGATGTTTTTGCAAGCCGGATTGGAACCCTTTTACTCCTGTTTTGATAGAACATACTTTTTAATGAGTTTGAGAAGAAAGAGAGCAAGTCAACAATTAGGTGGGAGTGTTCCCAACGGAAACCGCTGTCTTGCAAGGGTTCAGTGACCACAGACATGGAAGTGAAGAATAAAGTACTGACAACCCACCACTGCCACACCCCAGACCCCAGCGCTACCGTGGCCCTCAAGTTGCGGCCAGAGATGAAGCAGAAGGCCAGCACATCCCGAGAGACACCAAACCGGGTTCTTCCCTTAAGAAAAGAACCAGAGCAACCACCAAACGTCTCCAAGAACGCCTTGAAGGTCTGTGCAAGACCTACGCAGCGACGGAAAAGACACTCGAGGACTTTCTCCACGGCGTCGGCCGTTGTTTGCGTTCTTGAAATTTGGCAAGATGTTTAGTCATAGATATGTCTGAATGTGTGAAAATATATGCTGTTGTCATATTTATATATGTATTGATGCATGAATGATTAATAAATGTGAAATGTGCAATTGTCATAGATATATATTATATGCAAAAATGAGCTTACATATGTATTTTGGGTTTTTTTTGTTCTCGATTATGAATGACTCATATGAATAAAATTCATTTCTGTGACTAAACATGTCATTATTTTCTTTTTCTTAGGGTGGATTTTGTCCGGGTGGATTTTGTCCTAGGTTGCAATTTTGGGGTGGATTTTGTCCGGGTGGATTTTGTCCAGGTGGATTTTGTCCTGTTCCAGATGTAAAATGTGATCTAAAGTTTGTCGATTAGGAGTGAAACCACTCTGGTCCTCTTTTATAAGATTTTTATTTAAGATTTGGTGTTTTAGCCTATTGTTAATGATAGTTTCATTATATTTTGGAATTGTGGTGGGTAGTTGGTGGAGCTACTAGTGGTCGAGAAATGGGCAGCAATAGCGTTAGCCTTATCTTTGTTTGTGGGGAGGTCTGGGAGGTTAGTTGAAATGGGTTTTTTGGAAATGCCCTTTATGGCTTTAAATTTGTTCCACATTTGTCGAGTGTTAGCTTTGTTTAGCCTAAGGCTTGAACAAAAAGTTTCTCCAATGTTGGATTTTTTGCTGCCTTTATAAGTTGTTTAGTATTATTTCGTAGTTTTTTTGCCAAATGTAATTTTGAACGGTCCCTTTTTGATTGATTAAGGGCCTTTTTTCTTTGCCTTTCTGGCATTTATGATGTCTGTACTCTACCAGGAGACTGTTTTTAGTGCTGGGTTGGGCCGAATGGCGGGAATGCATTTTTTTGTGATGTTTATAATGGCGTTTGTGTAGTTGTTGTTGAATGTGTTTATGTCTTGGCTGTAGATGTTGTTTGTGTCTAATTGTTTGCAAAGTGTAGTGAATTTGGGCCAGTCTGCTTTTTGGTGGTGGTGTTTATTGTTGTGGGGGGGTTGTGTGATGTAATTGTGATTTTTATGGGGCAGTGAATATTGCAGTGTGTTGGGTTTCTTATATAGCATATCGTATAAACGGGCGCCACAGATTAGGGCTACTTTCAAAACAACTCCTGAGATCAAGAGACAAAATGGCGGCAAATTTGAGGGTTACGAACGGGAATAGGGGCATTGTGGTTAATAACAAATACGTAATCCTTTTTCGATTGGCAGGTATGAAAACATTATCTAGACCCAATTTGGTTGTGATTTCAAGACAAAGGTTGAAAATGACCACTTTGGCACATAAATCGTTGTTTTGATGAAATCTCAAGAGTTCGCGTGCCCACCGACTCATTATTTCCGGTTTCGTCTGTCAACACATGGTTTTGTCTGTCAACACATGATCAGGTAAGTTCCCATTGTTTTTACAGCTATTTAATTTTGATAATAGGAGCCCCTTAAGACGAGACAAGCCCAAGGAAGCCGACAAACGAATCCCGACACTCAATTGACCTGACACTGACACTCTTTGATATTCTGGTTATTGAGAAATCCCATCATGTAAGTACCGGGATGACAATTGTTTAAATGACATTATTGTTACCATCCCAAATACTCTTTTTCATATTCCAAAGCAAACATTAAATGATTTTTTTACGTTTAAGGTTCGGCATTACTACAGTAGTATTCATCGTAGAATACCATTCATCTATATCTATTTAGATAAAATGTAACTCAATTATTATGATAATTATTATGAAAAATACATATTTTCATGAGTGTTTGTTTTTTCAATGTTAGATATACCACAACGGTTTAGTAATTCAACTTTCAATTTCCTTTTCAGGGTGGATAAAGTTTACTGTGAGCACTGTAATCAATATGTCTCCCGTAAAACAGCATACAATCACAAGAGATGGCTTACTAACAATGGTAAGTTGTACATTATTTCTGAAGACATTAATGATCACAGTATGAGTAGTCATATGTGTTATATAAATAAAAATTCTAACAGTATAGTGATTTGGTGTCCCGAAAGGATCAGTTCTTTATACACACTCAGCATCTTGGTTCGACAACAACAGCATCAGTTCATAGGTAAATAGAAAGTTTGACCAATGTACCTCTATATGCTGAGTCAATTCACCTTTCAAAATGTTATTCTTGCATATGTTTATCATTGTTTTATTATTTCATTTCAGATAAAGCAAGTGCCCCATCCTTGATTGACCTAAACAAAGAGGAGGTGTGCATCGATACTATCTTTTGTTTTGCATATCTTTCAAATGTTATAATTCAGGATATGATATTTACATATTACTTTATATACATTGAAACCCCGATAAGTAAACTACTGATGAATGGCAACCCTGGTTAAGTAAACCTTTTCTCAATAACCTTCATTATTTATCAATATTTCATGTTGGATAAGTAAAAACGAATAAGTAGCAATTCTGTTTAGTAAACCTTTCTCAACAATCCCTTCGGACATTTTACAACAGAAATGTGGCAATACTCGGACCAGTCCTTGTGGATACACTCAGCAGTAATTACCATGTATCACCTGGCATCAACCACTTCGTTGTTAACGAGTCGACTAATTAGTCTCTTCCTGTATGTTGTTTATTGTCATAATTAATCCTAATCGGTGTCAAGTCTGCCATACACTGGATATAGTGGATCTGAGTAGAGGGGCAAGTTCAAACAGAGTGCCACCATTGATTACAAAATTGACGAGTATGGTTGTCACAATCTGATGGAACAACAGTGTTGACAGGATTCCCTATGCTAGCAAAGGAGAAAAGAACTTGAAAACCAAGCAGACATGTATAAAGGTCGTTAAAACATCGTATTTCGTTCGTTCAAGGTTCAAGGTTCTTTGAGTTGACTCATTTTCCTTGTGAAACTATTAGTGTAACCCTATAGTGAAACGACAGTGTGATGCTGTTCAAATTTGTGAAATCATAACATGTGATATTACATGTACTTGTATATGTTTTTTAATGATGAGTGTTGTTAAAAAATGAATCAAATTTGTATATATCTATATTTTATTTTATTTTATTTTGATCTGCAGATAAATGATTGAATGGTCCAGGTGAAGGGGTCAGATTGTCGTGATACAATGGGGATACGATGTCTATTTACTTTACTTGGAAATGTGATACAACTTTCTTGAATGGATAAGTGGCAATACGGATAAGTAGCAACTTTTGCCATGGTCTATTGGAGTTTTACTTATTCGGGTTACACTGTATTGTAAATAATGCTCAGGCATATTAATTTTAGACATGAAGACAAGTAAATCAAATGATCAAATAAGCCCTGTGTGTAATATGTGTATCTGTGTGGTAGAAAAGTTCTTGTGAATACAAGGAGAAAATTCTACTTTCTGTAATGTGTATTAATTTGAATCATTTCATAATTTGCCGACCACATTTAACAAATTTTGTAATGTTTCAGGTTCCAGATCTGGTGTTCTGTCCACATTGTGACAAGCATGTGAGTCGTTGGACAAGAAGCAGACATCTGAGCGGGGATCTTGCAATTGAGCCCCTGTCGAAGAAATTTCGCATTGATGAACCAAGCTCTGATTTCACTTCAGGTTTGACATTTATGAAATCATTTGATTAATAGAAAATTAACTTGTAATGTTGCTTTTCGGTTTAAATTGATTTCTCATTCTATCTTTTTGTAGAACAGAAAGAACAATGCATGTTATCTGTAAATACCGTGAGCTATAATATACAAGTTACGATGTTAATGGTACCCATAGCATATCTTAGAATATAACCTAAGTCAGGATCATTCAGCTAACACATTTTTGTGATCTCCCACCACAAACATAAATAGTGGGATAATCTGTACGAGCTGACTCTAAATACTGTGGAATCAACAGGTTGGGACTGTTGATACAAAGCATCATTGGTACTATGTTTATATAAACATGTTGCTTGGGATAACCTTCAATTACATCCCTCAGATAACACATCTATGTGATCTCCCACCACAAATATAAATAGTGGGATAATCTGTACGAGCTGACTTTAATTACTGTGGAAACAACAAGTTGTGACTGTTGATACAAACCACCAATGATACTATGTGTATATAAACATGCTGCTTGGGATAACCTTCAATTACATCCCTCAGATAAACCATGACACTCATGGCACCATCTCGGAGTTCTTGCTTCAGAGTCTCTAGTCTTGAGTTGACATGGATGTACTTCCTCCTTTTTGGTGGCGGTTTCCTCCCAGCAGCGTACTGAACAAGCTTGATTTCGTTCAGTTTCTGCTCTTTCCTGAGGAAAGACAACATCTCGAAGACATTGGGGTGAGCCTTAGAAATAATTTTCTTAAGGCGACCATGCCAACCTTCCAGGTGGTTATTGGTTCTTGGACCGGTGTTCTGGTAGTGGTTCCACGCTGTCTGGGGTATATGTCCTTCCACCCACTGGGTGGTCACGTAGTCGGCGAGACGGAGGCAGCGAGGGTCGTCAGGCATGTCTGCAAGTGCGTTCAGCCACACGTCGTCTACCTGGAAGCACAAGATTATTTTATGAATACATAATTTGTGATTATTGATCATCAGCCGCGAAGTACACAAAATGAATGACATAGTTTAAGCATAGTAATATATGATTTATAATAATAAAATCCGATTCCAATTCAGGCGCAATGCAATGCAATACTTACATCTGTCACGGGCACCAAAGGCAGTACAGCAGCACGCCTTACGAAGCGGGTGATGTCTTCGTCGTGGTTGTAGTCGCCCTGAAGGCCAACCCTTGTGTCTTCTTCCACACACACTGTGTGTAGTGGAATAGACACCCCCTCCACAGCGTCGTCGGGAAGTTGACGGAGACGGCATTCTTCGCTGCAGTTTCGAAGTCCATCTGGAATGATTAAAATGTGGAAATAATGAATACGTTTACCATGTTTTACAAATAATGATAAGTTAATTGAATAAATTATTATATAATTAATAATAATGAATAACTACATGAATACTGACTATCATTTATTAAGAGTTATGTAAATCAATTTACCTGGATGTGTTGAGGTGACATCTGAAGTCCTCTTGCTTCCACTGCTTCCTTCAGGAGACGGAAGGCGCGGTCGTAAGTAACAGTCGCCTTGTCTGGCAGCAAGAAGAAGACCAGCGGAAACATCTGACCACCAACCATAGCATGGAGAGTGTACAGCTGCAGGAAGAGTGATGGTGAGACATAAAAGGTTCCGTCACCATACACAACTTCGGCAGCACAAAGATGTTGCATGTTCACCGTTGTCGTCATGCCAAGGATCTTATCGTCGTCGCCATCGTTGATGATGACAAAGGGCTCGCCAGCGTTGGTTGTTTTGAACTCGTCTGGGATCACGATTTCTCGTCGGGAAGATGGGATGGGTGGGAAGGTGGATCTTCGGGCCTGGTACAGTCTGTTCTTGACGGTGTCGTACGTCGGCATTTCTGCGATGAACGACCTGTTCTCTTCCGTCCAAGGACCATCGCTCACTGAGGCCAGAACCTCGTTGTACAGCGTCGGTATCGGACCCAGAGATGACTTGGCCACCATCTTCATCCTGTCCAGTGTCTCTCTGACCTGTAAATAAGATATAACCAAAATTAATGTAATGTTATGGCTGCATAAATCTAATGAAGTGCTTTTCGAGCACATTTGTCTAAAATTGTGCAAATAATGAACAAATGTAGCAGAGCTTTATACCATTTCAATATTATAATTTATAGATACATTTACGCACAACATACCTTTATCTCATTATGGACAGGTCCATGGTTATGTGGGCTGGGATGCTTGGTGATGATGTCGTTCACAGTAGAGACAGTCGCAGCACATGTCTTCTCCTGGCATCTCCAAGATGCCCATGAAGCATCGTTGCGTCTTCGATTCAATCGAAACACAAAGCCTTCAACAACTAGATAACGTCCACCACGTGAAGTCGGGAGAAACTTATAGTCTAACTGCTGGTTTGCCATTTTGACAGTGATAGATTCTTGGTGGAATTACCATGATATATACCCAGTGTGAGTTTATATCAATCAATCTAAATTCTATAGTTAATTTGTGAGTTGATATCAATCAAATAATCATAATTGTGTTATTTGTCATTTAACTAGTGAGTTCATATCAGCAACTATGTTTATAGTTAGAACTAGTGAGTTCATATCACTAATTAGTGAACTCCGAGTTCACTCACCAGTTCAAGTTTTAGTGTCACCCATCTCATTAATCCTTTAAAACAACATGTATCTACCTCGGCCGAACATCAAAGGATTTTTACTGTAATAACAAATGTCTACTTCCAGGTACGACACCCCTTCAACTACATCCCTCAGTTAACACATCTATGTCATCTATCACAAACATGAATAGTTGGATATTCCATACCAGCAGATTCTAAAAGCTGTGGAATCTACAAGTTATGATGTAAACCATCAATAATAATATGCTTTTTCAAAAATTGTTGATTGGCAAAACAGGTTATATCTCAACATCTTCCCGAAACTATAGGTTTGTTATTGATAAAGCTGTGCTATATCTAACATAACACATGAATGACTCATTATTAATCAACATGACTGAATTGACCATATGTACGAAACATGCCCATCCTATATATATGTGCAGACCATTGTGTGTGTACATACTTAATGTACACTGAGGATCATATAGTCCAGAATTATGTGTGCAGGCAAATCGCTGTCTGCAAGTAGATGGTGTGTAAAATACAAACATGCAGAAACATAAACATGTGAATGCCAACATATCTCTATTGTCAGTTATTGTCATTTTTCTCGCACTAAGTTATATCCTGATAATATATTAATATATCCTACTCCAAAGATTTGATAATCCGAATGACGAACTAGCCCATGCATACTTTACTATGGGAAATTGTTGTCTTGCACTAAAAGTGCTGTATATTCTTTTGAATGTGATTTATATATGATTGGCTTCTCATTATATTTCACAACGTGTGTAATATTCTCTCTGAATTATATTTCTATATAATTTCTTTAGCTTAGTACATTACACAAAACGCTGATACTTTCCCTTAAAAGCAGCATATATATATACTTGCTTATTATACTATACCGAGAGTGTAATATTATCCTTTAATTGTGCATCATACTTTATTACCATTCAGATATTGACGATCAGACTCTGTGTGCCTGCTAGATTACTACAATATAGTCGTATTCATATAAAAGATTAGAATATGGGTCTGCATTTTCAGTTAACAGATTATCATTTTAAATTAAATTGGATCAGTTATCCAAATTGACATTTTCGTTTACTATCACCCACATATATGACAACTTATTGTTACAAACTAATACGTATAGTATTTCTTTGCATCAGTATTTCTTTTACATACTTCACCGGTGTTGGGTTTTCCTAGCTCTCCTTGTTTTCGTACCGTGCTTTATAATGATAGAAGGTTTCTATCTCATTATTTTCCCTTTCTTTTCTTGTTTTTGTTCTAACAAAAATATTAGACATGTTCTTATTATAAATTATTTGACAAATCATTCTCACCCCTACATGCCTTTCATCATTGCAGAACATAAAACGCACACTGAGGAACATCTTGTGATTAAAAACATCTTTACACAAGTACATCTGACATTTAATGACTTACATGTGTATGTACCCCTTTTCTCACAAATATGTCACTTTTTAAGATTATTAGATGGGGGTTGACATCTCAATATACCGGCTGAGAATCGGGGTATATCACTGTAAGTCCCTAAATAAAGAACATGGTAAAATAGACATATCTACTTATTATTTGGTGATGTTAGTCTGTACACTTGGGGTCAGGGTATTCAGATAGCTATATTATTACTACTCTGTTGTGGAGATATTCACCCTAACCCGGGACCAGTTAACTCAGATTTAAGTATTGTACATACTAACGTTTGTAGTCTTACTGATAAAGTAGACTTAGTTTACGCAGAACTTCATGAATATGATGTTATATGTATATCAGAAACTTGGTTGCATGATGGTATTTCAAATTATGACATTCTTATGCCTGGGTTTCATCCGCCATTTCGTAATGATAGACAAACTAGGGAGGTGGGGTTGCAATTTATGTGAAAGACTTTATTTACTGTAAGCATAGGCCTGACTTACAACTTCCAGGACTAGAGGCAGTGTGGGCACAGATCACGTGTAAAACAAGAGTTATGTTGTCGGTACGTTTTATCGTGTAAATACTAGTTCCCACTACTGGAATCTGATTGAAGAATCAATAGGCTTAGCGATAGATACTAATATTAAGACTATAGTACTTGGGGACTTAAATGCTAATTCGTTGAATAGAATAGATCCTAACATTGAACGTATTAAGACAATTTATGGCATGACGCAACTGATAAATGAGGCGACACGTATTACTCAACAATCGAGAACACTTATTGACCTAATATTTGTATCGTGTCCTGATATTGTAAGTTCCTCGGATGTTACTCCCCCATTCTGCAGTGACCATTGTTCAGTTAGCGTGTCGCTGAAATCTATTAAACAGATGAAAGAAGCCTATTCAAGATTCATTTATAATTACGATAATATTGATATAAATTCCTTTCGGCAAAATGTGGCAGATGTTAATTGGGATTTTCTTACACAAAATGATGATGTTGATGCCATTGCTTCAAAATTTGTTAATACATTAACAGACTTATGTAAATCAAATATTCCAAATAAAACTGTTGTGATTCGTCCAAATGATGCTCCGTGGATGAACGGATTTATAAGAAAACTTATGCGTAAGAAAAATAGAATTCATAGAAAGGCTAAACGTAGTAACTTGCCTAATGATTGGGAAAAATTTAGAAAAAGTCGAAATAAGCTTATCTCAGGGATACGTAAAAGTAAGTCATTGTATGTTGAAAAACTTGATAATGTTGTCAATACAGAACATGGTAGTAAATCTTGGTGGCGGATTGTTAAACATTATCTTAAGAAAACAGATAAAGCTAAGATATTTCCACACATTGAACACAATGGTGTTGTTTATGAAGATGATATTGAGAAAGCAAATATTTTTAATGACTACTTTGTGAGTATGGCAGCGGTTAACAGTTCTTCTGATGATGTTAATGTATATTCTGATATTAACGTGGAAAATTGTCTCACTGATATAAGATTACAAAGCGTTGAAGTAAGGGATATTTTACTGTCGCTTGATGTCACTAAAGCAACTGGTCCAGATCATCTTAGCAATCGTGTCTTAAAATGTTTAGCTGAACAATTGTCCGTTCCACTTTGTAACCTGTTTGATATTTCTTTGTCCTCTTCTCAGTTCCCAGACATATGGAAATGTTCATCCGTTGTTCCAATTTATAAGAAAAATAATGTTCATGATTATACTAATTATCGACCGGTTTCACTTACTAGTTGTCTTTCAAAAGTATTTGAGAAGTGTGTTTTTAAATATGTGTCAAATTTTTTTCTAGATAATGGAACTATTACTTCATTACAGTCAGGTTTCACGACTGGTGATTCTACGTCATACCAGCTCACTCATTTGTATGACTATATAGCTAAGGCGATGGATAGTGGCAAGGAGGTACGCGCTGTATTCTGCGATATAAGTAAAAAGCGTTTGATAGGGTTTGGCACAAGGGTCTTTTGCATAAGTTATGGGCTAGTGGAATTCGCGGATCTCTTTTTATTATGGTTTGAAAGTTATCTAAATAATAGAAAACAGTTTACAGCAATAAATGGGTATAAGTCAAATGTTAAATCAATTGAAGCTGGCGTCCCTCAGGGATCAGTCCTAGGACCTTTACTCTTTTTGGTTTATATCAATGATATTGTTGAAGATATACAGTGTAATATTAAATTATTTGCCGATGATTCATCCTTATATGTGATAATTGATGACCCTATGGTATCTTCCAATATGTTAAACGATGATTTAGAAATAATAGCTAAATGGGCCCAGGCATGGAAAGTAAACTTTAATCCCAATAAAACTGAATCTATCATTTTTCTAGAAAGAAAACAGTAACATCAATGCCAGATCTTATAATGAATGATATACCGATAAAGTCTGTTGACACTCATAAACATCTGGGGCTGACTTTACAAAGTGATGGCCACTGGAATATACATATAGATGATATTATTTCTAAAGTCAGTCCTATGATCAATTGTTTAAGAAGTCTGAAATACCGCCTTCAGAGGAAAACCCTCCAAACCCTGTATAGTTCATTTGTTTTACCACTTTTTGACTATTGTGATTATATTTGGAATAACTGTACACAAACTCAAGAGTTATTGTTAGAAAAACTTCACTTAGATGCTTTAAGAACCATATGTGGATCAGTTAGAGGAGTTTGTCATTCCAAAATCTACCATGAAACTGGTTTTTCATCATTAAGGGAACGTCGTAAAAAACCACCAAATGTATGTATTTCATAAAATGTTCCATAATAAAACTCCAAAGTATTTATCAGATCTAATTCCAATAAACATATCCTCTGTATCCACATATGGATCTAGATCTAGTAATATGCTTCAAGTACCATTATGTCGTACAGAAACATATAAAAAATCGTTTTTTACCATCCTCTGTGATGGAGTGGAACAAGTTAGATAATGATACAAGAAACATAGATTCCGTTGCCATGTTCAGGAAACACTTTGATCGAAATGTCTCATCCAACGTACATCATGTCTTCAGAAACACTGGTAATAGATTTAATCAAATAATTCATTGTAAGTTAAGACTTGGCTGTAGTGACTTAAACGCACATAAATTTGACCGTTTTCTTCAAAGTACGTCTACTTGCACTTGTGGCCATCATTATGAAGATGCCATTCATTTTCTATTTATCTGTCCAAATTTTAATTCAATTCGATCGCAGTGTTTCTATTACATAAATGGTTTTAATATTCAATCTGTACTATGTGGAAGTTACTCATATTCTGACGAAATCAATGAAAATATTGTAAAATCTGT